ACTCACCTGGCTCCTGGAAGGTCATCTTCTTCCGGAAGGAGGAGGCTTTGTGGTGAACTGTGCAGCTGTGTGAGCCAGGCTTCCACCAGGTGGTCAGGGAGAAGACATGGATGTACTCTTGTCCTTTCTTCATGGCCGGGAAGGTCCATGGCTTCTGGTTCTGCATCTCTGGCTCCCAAGTGACCTGCACCGGCTCTGGGAAGTAGCCCTTGACCAAGCAGGCCAGGCTCACAACGTCATCTTCCTTTGGGGCTTTGCACTCTGAGAACAGGGGGATTACCGCTGTATCTTCGAGGGACCCTGCAAGACAGACACAGCACGGGCTGTGAGCCTGGCAGCTCCTGAGGGTACAGGGGGACGGGGACTGGGGAGAGGCCTTGGGCGAGTGTGGCGGGAGGGGGGGCGGCTGGGCTGAGTGGCTGGTGCCCCCATGGTGCCCCTCCTGTCCCATGAGTAGACTAACTGCTCTCCCACTGCAGGGCCTGTGGCCGAGTCAGCACCAGGGCTGGTGCCGCCCAGACCCCTGAGAGGAGGTGGGGACACCCCAGTTGAGGGAGTGCTCTCAGTGACGGGCTGGGGCAGTGCGCCCCATGCCCAGGCCCCCAGCTCTGGCCCTCGGCCGCTCCTCAGCCGCCCCGCAGGGTAGGTGCAGTCCCTTCGCCGGTGGAGGAACCGTGTGGTGAGACTTCCCTGTGGTTCCCTGAGGAACGGGTGGATTGGACCCTCCTGTTCCAGGTGCCTCCCCCCAGGGGCTCTGCTGCTTGGGGCAGCCTGTGAGCACCTTGTCCTCACCGAGGCCTTTGTCTGTGTCCCCGGCCGTGGCGGATGGCTCCGTCAGCCTGGGTGGAATGGGTTGCACCCTGCAGGCCTCTGGGTCTGGGCCCCAGGTGTGGCAGGTCCCAGAATGGGTGACTCCCTAATGGGCTGTCTCCCAGCCTCCTCATCCTCTCCCTGGGGACCCGAGTGACCCAGGGCAGCTGAGTGACCGTGGGGTCCCTGATGGCACTGCTCCTTCTCAGCCTCACGGGCACCTTTTCTCCTGGCCCCTCAGCTCCTCCCGTGTCTCTCCAGCCTCTGGCCTGACTGCCCACTCTCTACTCTTCAGCCTGCCCTGTCCCTGATGGCCCCAGGGGGCAGAACCCACCGCCCCTCTCTCCCAAGCACCTGGCCAGGCTGCCCCCATCTTTTTCCCAGTCTTCTCCACAGGCATATCTCCCCTCCACTTCCTGGGTGGCCTTCTTGGCCCAGCTCAGAAGCCCTCGCCTGCAGGGAGCTGCCCTTGCTCCCTCCTTGTTGCCCTGCGGCCGTGAGCTGGCATGGCTCTTGGCTTCAGCCCCGCCAGGCCCCCTCCATGGCACTGTTGGAGAGATGTGGGCGTGGACGGCATCATAGGCTGAATTGTGTCCCCCCAAAATTCGTATGTCGAAGTCCTGAGCCCCAGGACCTCCGAAGGTGACCTTATTTGGAGACAAGGTCGTGGTGCATACAATTAGTAAGTTAAGATGAGGTCCTACTAGAGTAGGGTGGGCTCCAAATCCCGTATGACTGTGTCCTTCTAAAAGGCAGGTTTGGACACAGAGATGTACAGGCAGAACCACGTGAAGATGGAAGCGGAGATGGGAGTGATGCATCTATGAGTCAAGGAACGCCAAAGATTGCCAGCAACCGCCAGAAGCAGGGGCTGCAGAGGCCTGGGCCGGCTTCCCCCTCAGGGTGTCAGAGGGAGCCAGCCCTGTGACACCCTGACCTCGGACTCTGGCCTCCAGAACTAAGAGAGGACATCTGCGCTGTTTCAGCCGTCCAGGCCGTGGGACTTTGTTACGGCTGCCCATGCGAAACTAACACAGATTTTGGTACCAGGAGTGGGGTGTGATGTAACAGACACCTAGAAATGTGGAGGTGGTTTTAGAACTGGGTGACGGGTAGAGGCTGGAAGAGGTTTTTTTTTTGTTTTTTTTGGTGAGGAAGTCTGGCCCTGAGTTAACATCTGTTGCCAATCTTCCTCTATTTCGTATGTGGGATGCTGCCACAGCATGGCTTGATGAGCGGTATGTAGGTCTGAGCCCTAGATCTGAGCCTGTGGACCCCAGGCCACCGATGAGGAGTGCTCGAACTTAACCACCTGTGCCCCGGGTCTGCCTGTGGAAGAGTCTTGAGGTGCACGTTAGAGAAAGCCAAATTGTCTTGAAGACTGCTGGTAGGAGGATGGACATTAAGGGTGAGTCTGGCAAGGCCTCAGATGGAAATGAAGAATCTGTCATTGGAACCTGGAGGGGGCGATGCTTGTTCCAATTACCTTCAGACTTGGCTGAATTGTGTGCTACTGTTTTGTGCAAATGGGGCTTGCGAGCCAACTGTTGAAAGGGGCGGCCTCGCTTCTCCTTGCTGCTTGTAGCAGACGGTGGAAGGAGAGCGAGAAATGGAAGGAGGAACTATGAGGCAAGCAAAGAGCATTCAGAACTTGAAGATCTGAAAAACTCTCAGTCTATCCAGACAACAGGGCTGAGGGTGCGGCTGGACCCTCTTTTGCTAAAGACATTAGTTGTGTGACTCATGGATGCAATCGGCCACGTCGTCAGGAGCCAGGAATAGTGATGTGCTCATCCCGGGAAGAGCTGGAGGACCCTCTTGTCTGTTGGCTTGGACCCCCATGAGCTGCATGGGAGGCCAAGAGGGGTTTTGAGAATTTTACGCCAACAGGAACATGCCCACCTGGACTGAAATGGGCAAATGGGACGGAGGGGAGGAAGATTGACTGAGTGCAGAGCCCCAGGTGCAGAGGCTGGCGGGGCTGCCGCTGCCACAGTGGGCACAGAGGACTCAGGCCTCAGGGACACAGCTGCCACCCTGGCTGGCTCAAAGTGTGGGGCTGCTGTGCCAGGCCCCAAGGACAGAGCATTGAGCAAAAGAGGATCCTTCTTGAGCCTTAGAATGGAACGGGGTCTGTCCTGCTGCCTTCAGCATTGCTTGGAACTCGTGACACCTTTCTTCCTTCTGACTTCTCCCTCTTGGGATGGGAGAATGTCTACTCTGTGTCTGTCCCACCATCGTATTTTGGAGGCAGATAGCTTGTCTGATTTTATAGGTCCACAGCTGGAGAAGATTTTGTCCCAGGATCAGTCCTGCTGGAGTCTCACCTGTACCCGACACAGGTGGACTTAGATGAGATTTGGGGCTTTGATTTGGTGCCGGCATGGGTTAAGAGTTATAGGGGTGTTGGGATGGGGTATTTCACATGTGAGAACAACAGGAATTTTTAGGGACTAGAGGGCGGACTGTTATGGCTTGAATTGTATCCCCCCAATTTATATGTTGAAGTCCTAACCCCAGAATGTGACCTTATGTGGAAATAGGATCACCAAGGATGTAATTAGTGAGTCAAGACGAGGTCATAGTGGATCAGGTTGGGCCCCGACTCCAACACGACTCATGTCCTTATACAAAGGGGACTTTGGAGACAGACACACACAGGGAGACGTCACGTGAAGACACACGCAGAGGTCAGGGTGATCCTTGCACAAGCTCAGGAAGGCCAAGGGTTGCCGGCAGCCACCAGAAACTCAGAAAGAAGCATGGTGCTCATGCTCCCTGGCAGCCTCAGAAGGAGCCAGCCCTGCCGACACCTTTGACTTCCAGGCTCCAGAACTGTGAGACAGGAAGTCTGTTGTTGAAGCTTCTGGTCTGTGGTTCTTTGTTGTGACAGCCCTCGGACACTAACGCAGGTGTGTCCCACGGCCTGCATGAGAGTCCCGCAGTCTACAGCATGTGCCTTGTGCCACCTGGGGCCCCTCATCAGGTCTCCCCCAGCCTGTGAGGTTGAGCTCCCGCCAGATCCATTGCCAGATCCATTTAACCAGAACAGAGCCGAAGCCTAAGGCAGCCCACTCAGAGCCCAGGCTGGGGACGATTTCCCTTGGGACACACGTCCACTCCCAAATCTCTCTTGGACGTTCACCCCTTCAGGGCCAGGCCAACGCACAGGCCCCAGACACTGCATGACAGCTGGCCCTGCAAACTCCAGGCTGCTCTTCAGTACCCATACCCTGAAATTGCCCCCTCCTGGGGGTCCCGCTCAGAAGACCCGTCCTCGCCAGGTGCCATCACAGATTCCCCCTGCTTGGGTCTTTGGGATCTGCTGGATGCTCTTTGCCATCTCCCACTGCCCACCTCTACCCAGACCTTCGCTGGACTTCTCCATGACCTGTGGGCCACGTCCCGCTGTCTGCACTGTGACCGACCGAGCCCCTGACATGTGTCCCCACTTCCCCTTTGCACAGCTCCTGTCTCCAAGTGCTAATTTCCCACCCTGCAATCAGCTCCTGCCTCCTCGGAGTCTCCCTGCTCACCCTTGCTCCTGGGCATGGCTGCTGCGGCCCTTCCTTTTGGTGCAAATCACAGATGGACGGATGGACGGAGTCTTTCCCCTGAGCTCCTGCCTCTCCCATCATGTACGCTCCTAACTGGTTCACCGAAACTTCTTCTCCAACTTCCACACTCCTGTCACTGTCCGGCCCCAGGCTGAGGGGTGGGCTCCCCGGGCTCCTGCAAGCCACAGTCAGAGCACGCAGAGCCCAGCACTCCTCCTGATGCCCACCGGCCCACCCCACACACTGCGGAGGCTGAGTCAAGACCTGGAAGTGGCCGGGCTTGCTAGGAATGGCAATAAGGTGACTACACACCCTCTGGTACTCGCGGGGAAAAGACCCCTGCTGACAGCACACAGGGACCCCTGAGGCCCAGGCCTGGGCCTAACAATTCCCCATTGCATTAGGGAGACCAGGCCTGGAGTTCTCTCCAGCCCAGCCGTGTGCCTTCATCAGGCTGGACAAGCCCTGAGAGCCGGGTCCAGTGCGCGAGGCCCCTTTGGGGCACATCCCCAGGCAGGCGTGTGTGGAGCCAGGACTTGCTCTCCACCGCACCCTTTAGAACGAGTCTCACCCCTCGAGATGCTCACACAACACACAGGGAGTGCGGTTCGGGAAAAACACCTTCCAAGCAAGCCGTTTCACAAGACCCAATAGGCACATTTATTCAAGGCGACATGTGCATACATTGCAAAGCAATACTGGGGCAGAGCCCGCGGCTGCGGCTCCACACATGTCCATGGCCTCCGGTCTGTAGAGAGAAGCCTATGTCTTAGAGCTGGAAGCTGGAGGGCGACGTGGGGAGATTTAAGGGCAAGTCGACAGGCCACACAGGCCGGGGACCCCAGGCCCGACGATGGCAGCCCTCCTGGGTCCGTCTCTGGTCTCTCATGTCCTTTGTTGGTGGGTCATTTCACCTGCAGGCCACAGAGAGAGTGTGAGTTGCTTTCCCACCCTTGGGAATGAAGGTGGGTCACATGCAGCCTGGGGTCTCTGCCCTCCGCCCCTCCCGCCCCCGCCGGCCAGTCTACCTTGAACAGGGTGACCGTGGTGCTGTAGAAGAGGCTCAGGAGGAAGAGGACGATGAAGGTAGAGGCCATGGCCGACAGGTTCTCGAAGCCCTCCTCCTCGGCGCTGACCTCCCCCTCTGCAGGGGACACAGCAGAGCGGGGTCAGGCTCCAGGTGAGCACCAGCAAAGCCCACCCCGGGGGCCGCCTGTCATCCAAGCCCACCTGTGGCCCCTCGGCTGTGCTGCCCACGAGGAGGGCCAAGTGGGGTGGGGGCAGTGGAAGCAGGAGGGCGGGAGGGAGGGGGTGTGCAGAGTGGCGTCCAGGGCGTGCACAAGGCCTTCCTGACCCCGCAGGCCCCTGGGCACCTGCCTTGTGGGCCTGGGAACTCCTGGGCTCTGCCAGGAAGGGTCTAAGCCAGGCACGAGCTGGGCCCTGACAGCCCTATGTAGGGGCCAGGAGTGGGCGTGGGCTGGGGGATTCAGAGCTTGACCAAGGCTGAGCGGGGCAGTGACCCCGAGCACCTTGTGCTAGGATCCCCGGGGTGGCAGGGAATGTGGCAGAAGCAGCAACACAGACACACAGTGGTGCAGGTTGTGGCCGGGGCTGGGGTCAGAGGTGGGGACCCCAGGGTGTCCTGGACTCTTCTGATGAGGGGGTGGCCCAGCCAGGGCCCTTGGGGCTGGGAGGCAGGGAGTGGGAGGGGAGGAAAGCTGTGGTTTGGGGTGGGCAGTCGCCTGGCCAGTGAGGGGAGGCAGGCAGATGTCGGGGCCGAGGAGCCCCGCCTTGCTTTCTCAGGGGGACTCCTGCTCTCTCTCTTTCTTGGAGAGGACAGCACTTATGAGAGGCCATGTGGGCCCCTGGCCGGCTTGTCTGTCCCACTAGGACTCATGACTCTGGCACTGAGGGGTGAGACACCTGAGGCCCCAGGAGAGTGATGTTGGGATGCACAGACTGAGGACATTCAGTGGGATCTGCAGCCCTGCACAGATACGTCCCTGGGGGGACAGTGAAGTCTGTTGGGAGTGGGGGCCCCACTTGGGCCCTGCTCCCCTTCCTGCCATCGGGCTCTCTGCTCTAGGGCCGTCTCCTTTCCCACCATCTCCAGGGCAGAGTGTTTGTAGGAGCAGACTTTGCTCCAATGGGGGTCCCTGCAGCCTCCGACTGCAAGGAGGAGCCTCCAGGGCTGGCCTCCCTGCCTCTGGGCCAACATCCGGGCACTGCCTGCTCTGTCAGGAAACGCCTCAGCTCTGTTTGCAGCTGGGTGCCAGGGGTCTGCAGCCTTCGTCAACAGCATGGACTTGGAGGGGCACCCCTCCTGGACACGGTCCAGGGCTTCCCTCAGGAGCCATAGCTGGCAGGCCCCGTGTGGCTCTCTGAGCCCTTTGCCGTGGACCTGGGGATGGTGGCCCTGGTCAGAGTCCAGGCTGGGCTGGCCCATGGATGCATGTTCAAGCTGAGACAGAAGGACAGGCAGAGCCTTGGGCAGGAAGCCCTGCAGCCAGCACAGTGCAGAGAGAGAGACTGCCAGAGAGGGCAGGAACACCTGCCGAAGGGGCAGAGGGACTGCGGGCATGCAAGAGTTGGCATCCATGAGTGCATGTGTGCCTGTGTGTGTGTATGTGCCACATGTCTGTGTGTGCGTGCGTGTGAATGTGTGTATATCTGTGTCCATATGTCTGTGTGCCCATGTGTGTGCATGTCAGTGTGTGCCCATGTCTTGTCCACGCGAGAGTCCATGAGCAAGCATGTGTTCATGTGTGTCTGTAGGCGAGTGGCCACGTGCATGTGCCCATGTGTGTCTGCACATATGAGTGTGTGTCTGTATGTGTTCATGTGTGTGAGTGAAAACATGTCCATATATACATCTGTGTGGGTGTGTCTCTGTGTGTGCGCATGTCCATGTGCATGTGCGTGTCTCTGTGTGTATATATCTGTGTGTGTATGTCCATGTGCATGTGCGTCTGTGTCCATGTGCATCTGTATCTCTGTGTGCACATAATTCCATGTCTGTGTCTCTGTGTGTCCGTATGAATATGTGTGTTTCTGTGTGTACGTGTCCATGTCTGCGTATGTGTGTGTCCATGTGCATGTCTCTGTGTGTGACCATATGAATACGTGTGTCTCTATGTGGACATGTGTTCATGTCTGTGCATGCCTGTATATCCATGTGCATGTGTGTGCCTCTGTGTCCATAGGAATGTGTGTCTCTGTGTGTACATGTGTCCATGTCTGTGCATGTGTGCATATATTCATGTGTATCTCTGTGTGTGTGTGCATCCTTGTGCATTTATGTGCACATGTGTGCATGTGTATGTGTCTGTCCACATGCATCCCTGTCTCCATGTGTACACGTGTCCATGTCTGGGCATGTGTCCATGTGCCTGTGTGTCTATGTATGTGTATGTCCACATGTACGCATGTGTCTGTGTCTATGTGCATCTGTGTCTCTGTGTGTGCATGTCTGTGCAAGTGTCTGTGTGTGTGCATGTGAGCATGTGTGTGTTGCACACCCCTGAGCCCGTGTGGCCATGGAAGCAGCTAGAGGAGCGGTGAGCGTGGGCTCAGTCAGCAAGGAAGGCAGGGGCTTCCCAAGGCCGGTGGGGGGTGGGTGGGCGAGGCAGGGCGATTGGAGAGGGTGGTCTGCGGGGTGTGGGCAGCACAGCCGTGGCTCCGGCAGGCGAGAGCATTGCTCACTCAGGACCAGCATCTTTTGAATGGATCTTTTTATTTCTAATTTTTATAAAATGCAACACCTCACCCCATTGACATGGTTAGTCTGCATGCATGCACACACAGAGCGATGGGTCCCCCAGAGACTCCAGGTACCCCTGCGCAGGGTGGACCAGGTCAGTAGCAGGTGCTGGCCATGTCAGACATGACCAGGGACACGTTGTACAGGGTGGGTTTACCAGTGGACTTGTCCACGGTCCTCTCGGTCACCACGTGGGGCAGGGCCTCATGGCCCACGACGCAGGTGTATGTCTCCCCAGAGCTCCAGTCCTCCTCGCTCACGGTCAAGATGCTGTGGACGAAGTACAAGCCTGGGGCCTGGGGTTCAGGCATCGGGGCGCTGGTCACATACTTGTCGGAGGACAGGGGCTGCCCCTTCTGCAGCCACTGCACGAACACGTCCGGGGGTGAGAAGCCCTTCACCAGGCAGGTGACTGAGGCCGACTCCCGCAGGCTCAGCTGCTCCCGGGTGGGTGGCAGCACGTAGACGGAGGGCGGGTGCTTGGCAACTGCTGTGGAGGAGAGAGAGTGGTGAGCTCAGGTCGGGGGCCAGTGGGATTCGTCTCCCTACAATGGAGGAGCAGAGGGGTGCTCCCTGGCCCTGCCCGTGGCATCTCCAGACTCCCGGAGGCCATGGGAGAGTCCTGGGGGCAGAGGGAAGGGACAGGGAGAGCCTACCGTCGGGCCTGGAGATGGCCTGCTTCAGCGGGAAGGGCAGGTCTGTGTGGGTCACTGTGCATATGTAGTCGTCGCCCGACTCCCAGTCTTCCACGCAGATGGTGGCCTCGCCCAGGGCGCTGAAGGTGCCGTTGGGGTGGCTCTCAGAGATGTTGGTGTGGGTTTTCAGAATCTCACCATTCTGGCGGGTCCAGGAGATACTCAGGCTGTCATAGGTGCCCAGGTTTGTGACTTGGCAGGACAGCTTGGCCGACTTGGTGAGGAAGATGCCAGCAAAGGAGGGAGGGATGGCGAAGATTTTGATGGGGACAGGTGAATCTGGAGTCAGAGAGAGTGGGTTTGAGTGACTGGCTGAATGTGACATCAGGAGAAGGTATAGTTTTCCCCGAAGAGCAGGGACTGACTTTGCTGAGCCCTCCCGAGCCCCGGGGTCCTGCTGGAGGAGGACGCTGGGCCCCCATCTGACAGGTGACCCCTCCCTGACCTGCATGAGCCCCTCCCTGCCCTTGGCCGCTCTGGGAAGCCAAGGCTCGGGGAGCAGCTGGCCATGTCTGGGGTGGCATCTGCAGGCCTGAGTGGACACCTGTGTGTGGGGGGTCCCCACCCTGGAGGGGCTGCACTCGGGACAGGACCACTCACTGGGGCTGCACATGGACGACACGTTCTTCTGGAAGACCCCCTGTTGGTGTTCCACATGGCAAGTGAACACCTTCTGGTTGAGCCAGTCGCTCTCGGTGATGGTCAGCATGCTGGTGACTTTGTAGGTCACCGGCCAGGACTCTTTGTTCTGGGGCTGCACCTCTTCCGTGGTGAAGCCTGACTCCACGGGTTTTCCATCACGCAGCCAGGACACAGAGATCTCCTTGGGGCTGAAGCCCGTGGCCTGGCAGACGAGCCTGGATGTGCGCTGGCCAGGGCCGGTGAAGGCATCGCGTGGCGGGATGAAGACGGTCACATTTGGGGACTCGTCTTGGATGAGTACTGGAGACAGGGGACGAGGTGTTAGCCTGGTGCAGCCCCTCCCCGACTCCACCCATCCAGCCCCGGGGAGGAGGCCAGCTCTCACCTTGGGGCCTCACTTCCACTTTCTTGTTGCCGTTGGAGTGGTTGACAGTGCATACCAGGGGGACGTCCCCGGAGGGCAGGAGCACCTGGGAGCTGGCCGTGTACTTGCCCTCTCTCAGGACCGACGGGAAGTTCTTGATGTCCTGGGATCTGACTACAGTGTTGTTCTGGTAGTTCCAGGAGAAGGTGATGACGTTGGGTAGGAAGTCCCGGGCTAGGCAGCCCACAGCCACCAGGCTCTCATCAAGAGAGGGCCCACAGGAGACGAGGGGGAAGAGATCTGGGGTCATCGTACTCTCTGAAGACCCGAGAGAGGACAAAAGAGAAGGGGGGTGGGTGAGAAGGTGTCTTCTCGTGCTCTGCTGGTTGGTGTCAGACCAGCTTTCTCTAGCCCCATGGCACGGCCGCTGCCCCTCCAGGGCCCAGCCCTCTGCAGGCCTCCAGGCCTGGCCTGACATGGCCAACAGTGAGGTGTGTGGCTGAGGCGAGGCCCGGGGTCCTGGCATAAGCCTGCTGGGGGTGTGGGGAGGTTACTGTTGACCCCCGGCCTGCCGCAGGAGCCCAGCTCCGAGCTCGTCGGAGGACGAGGGGTGCTCCCTGTTGGAGCAGGAGGGTCTCGCTCCCCTCCGATAGCACGGCTGTGCCTGCACTCAGGGACCAGCTCTACCTTCCCTCTGAGACACTGGAGCTGCGGGGGGCATACTCAGCCCCAAGCACAGGGAGCCACTGGTGAGGCAGGCTTCCAGGGAGGAGAGAAGCCCCCCACCAGCCCAGCCCTCCCTGCCCCACCGCTCAGCCACACTGGAGCCCTGCCCATGTGTCTGGGGTTGGAAGGAGGATGTGTATGTGACGGTGGGACAGATGCCAACACAGCCTGACCCATCCTTAGCACGACCTGGTCACTGAGGTCAGCACAGTGCTGGCAAGCATGGTCCTGCATGGCCAGCTCAGCGCAACTAGACCCACACAGCCCAGACGAGGTCACTTGAGCCCAGAGTAGCTCTTCAAACTTGTTCCAGTCAAGTCAGTTCAGCTAGTCCATTTCTGCAGGACCCAGTTCAGCCTACCCTGGTTAACACAGCTCAACCCACCAAGCCAGATTCAGCCCGGCTCACCTCAGCTCATCACAGCCCAGCGCAGCCCAGCCCAGCTTGGCTCAGTCGATTTCAACCAGGTCAGCTGAGCTCAACCCAGCCTAGCCCAGCTCAGCACGGCTCAGCCCCATTCAGCCCTGTTTAGCCCCATTCAGCCCAGCTCAGCCAAGCCCAGCTCAGCCCAGCTCAGCCAGCTCACCTCAGCACATTACAGCTCAGCTCCGCTCAGCCCCGTTCAGCCCAGCTCAGCTTAGCTCGGCTTAGCTCAGCTCACCCTAGCTCAGCTGGTTCAGCCCAGCTCATCCTGGTTAGGCCCATATCAGCTCAGCCCAGCACAGCCCGTTCAACCTGGCTCAGCCCAGCTCAGCCTGGTTCAGTTCAGCTCAGCCAGCTCAGCCCAGCTCAGCCTGGTTACTCTAGCTCAGCCCAGCTCATCCCAGTTCTGCCCAGCTCAGCCCAGCTCAGCCCAGCTCAGCCAGCTCACCTCAGCACACTACAGCTCAGCTCCGCTCAGCCCCGCTCAGCTTAGCTCAGCTTAGCTCAGCTCACCCTAGCTCAGCTGGTTCAGCCCAGCTCATCCTGGTTAGGCCCCTATCAGCTCAGCCCAGCACAGCCCGTTCAACCTGGCTCAGCCCAGCTCAGCCTGGTTCAGTTCAGCTCAGCCAGCTCAGCCCAGCTCAGCCTGGTTACTCTAGCTCAGCCCAGCTCATCCCAGTTCTGCCCAGCTCAGCCCAGCTCAGCTCAGCTCAGCCCAGCTCAGCCTGGTTCAGCCCAGCTCACCCGGCTCAGCCAGCTCACTGCAGCTCAGCTCGGCTCAGCCCAGTTCAGCCCAGCTCAGCTCAGCCCAGCTCACCCTGGCTCAGTCAGTTCAGCCCAGCTCAGCCTGGCTAATCCCAGCTCAGCTCAGCCCAGCTCAGCTCGGTTCAGTTTGGCTCAGCCCAGCTCAGCTCAACCTAGTTCACCCCGGCTCAGCCTAGCTCACCCCAGCTTACCGGCTTAGCCAGCTCATCCTGGTTCAGCTAAGCTCAGCCCAGCTCAGCCAAGCTCAGCCCAGCCTGTTCAACCCAGCTCAGCCCAGCTCAGCCTGGCTCAACTTGGCTCACCCTGCCACAGCCTGGCTCACCACAGCTCAGCCCAGCTCAGCCCAGCCTGGCCTAGCTCAGCTCGGCCTAGCTCAGCTCAGCCCAGCTCACCCAGCTCACCCTGGCTCAGCCAGCTCAGCCTGGTTCCGCCCAGCTCAGCCAGCTTACTCTAGCTCAGCCCAGCTCATCCCACTTCTGCCCAGCTCAGCCCAGCTTACCCAGGTTCAGACTGGCTCAGCTCTGCTCAGCCTGGCTAACCCCAGCTCAGCTCAGTCCATTCAAACCGGCTCAGCCAGCTCAGCCCAACTCAGCTCACCTCAGCGCAGCTCACCCTAGCTCATCCCAGCTCAGCTCAGCCAGCTCAGCCCAGCTCACCCTGGCTCAGCCCAGCTCAGCTCAGCCCAGCTTACCCTAGCCCAGCTCAGCTCACCTCAGCCCAGCTCACCCCAGCTCAGCCGGCTCAGATCCGCCCGCACAGGCCACTTCAGCCCAGCTCAGCCAGCTCAGCCCGGCTCAGCCCAGCTCAGCTCGGCCCAGCTCGGCCCAGCTCAGCCCGGCTCAGCTCAGCCTAGCTCACCCCAGCTCACCCCAGCTCAGCTCGGCCCAGCTCGGCCCAGCTCAGCCCGGCTCAGCTCAGCCTAGCTCACCCCAGCTCAGCCCAGCTCACCCTAGCTCACCCCAGCTCAGCTCAGCCCAGCTCAGCCAGCTCAGCCCAGCTCACGCCGTAGCTCACCCTGGCTCAGCTCAGCCCAGCTCAGCTCACCTCAGCCCGGCTCACCCGGCTCACCCCGGCTCAGCCAGCTCGGCCCAGCTCAGCCCAGCTCGGCTCAGCTCAGCCCAGCTTGGCTCAGCTCAGCCAGCTCAGCTCACCCTGGTTCAGCCTGGCTCAGCTCAGCCTATTCAACCCAGCTCAGCCCGGCTCAGGCCGGCTCAGCCAGCTCAGCCCAGCTCAGCCTGGCTCAGCCAGGTTCAGCTCAGCTCAGCTCAGCGCAGCTCAGCCCAGCTCAGCTCACCTCAGCCCAGCTCACCCCAGCTCAGCCGGCTCAGATCAGCCCGCACAGGCCAGCTCAGCGCAGCTCAGCCAGCTCAGCCCAGCTCAGCTCAGCCTAGCTCACCCCAGCCTAGCTCACCCCAGTTCAGCCCAGCTCACCCCAGCTCAGCTCAGCCAGCTCAGCCCAGCTCACCCCATAGCTCACCCTGGCTCAGCTCAGCCCAGCTCAGCTCACCTCAGCCCGGCTCAGCCCAGCTCAGCCAACTCAGCCCAGCTCAGTCCGGCTCAGCCAGGTTCAGCTCAGCTCAGCTCAGCGCAGCTCAGCCCAGCTCAGCTCAGACCAGCTCAGCCCAGCTCACCCCGGCTCAGCTCAGCTCAGCTCATCTCAACCAGCTCAGCTCGGCTCAGCTCAACCCAGCTCAGCCTGGCTCAGCCCGGCTCAGCCCGGCTCACCCCGGCTCAGCCAGCTCAGCTCAACCAGCTCAGCCCAGCTCAGCTCGGCTCAGCTCAGCCTAGCTCAGCCCAGCTCAGCCCGGCTCAGCCCAGCTCGGCTCAGCTCAGCCAGCTCAGCTCACCCTGGTTCAGCCTGGCTCAGCTCAGCCTGTTCAACCCGGCTCAGCCTGGCTCAGCCAGCTCAGCCCAGCTCAGCCAGCTCAGCCCGGCTCAGCCCAGCTCAGCTCGGCCCAGCTCGGCCCAGCTCAGCCCGGCTCAGCTCAGCCTAGCTCACCCCAGCTCAGCCCAGCTCACCCTAGCTCACCCCAGCTCAGCTCAGCCCAGCTCAGCTCACCTCAGCCCGGCTCAGCCTGGCTCACCCCTGCTCAGCCAGCTCAGCCCAGCTCAGCTCAGCCCAGCCCAGCTCGGCTCAGCTCAGCCAGCTCAGCTCATCCTGGTTCAGCCTGGCTCAGCTCAGCCTATTCAACCCAGCTCAGCCCGGCTCAGGCCGGCTCAGCCAGCTCAGCCCAGCTCAGCCCGGCTCACCCCGGTTCAGCTCAGCTCAGCTCAGCGCAGCTCAGCCCAGCTCGGCTCAGCTCAGGCAGCTCAGCTCACCCTGGTTCAGCCTGGCTCAGCTCAGCCTGTTCAACCCGGCTCAGCCCGGCTCAGCCAGCTCAGCCCAGCTCAGCCGGCTCAGCCCGGCTCAGCCCAGCCCAGCTCGGCCCAGCTCAGCCCACTTCTGCCCAGCTCAGCCCAGCTTACCCAGGTTCAGACTGGCTCAGCTCTGCTCAGCCTGGCTAACCCCAGCTCAGCTCAGTCCATTCAAACCGGCTCAGCCAGCTCAGCCCAACTCAGCTCACCTCAGCGCAGCTCACCCTAGCTCATCCCAGCTCAGCTCAGCCAGCTCAGCCCAGCTCACCCTGGCTCAGCCCAGCTCAGCTCAGCC